CAAGGTCACCTCTGCCTACCCGAGACGTATTCCATGATCATGAATATTTCTGATGGAGTGTCGATGAGATCGTACATCCGAATAACATGGGGATGGGCCATCAATTGCATGATGTTGATCTCACGGGACAGTTTCCCGTGCATGTTCATCTGGTGCATCTTCTGCTTGTTAATTATTTTCACAGCGACCTGACCGTCCACAACAACAAGTGTGACAACCGCTAACCTGTCGTCAACACTACGAGCATTTGATGGCTCGATTCACATCAACATTTTAAGTACGACCATTTGTAGTCTAGATAGATATTGATCATACAAGAACAAGAACGTTTGCAATACGAAGTCACTCCTCTTAGTTGAAGCGATGCAAGAGCGCACCCTTAACCCGGTATCGGACTACCTTTTCCTTAGTCACCACATGCTCAGCCAACTTAACCTTCCCAAAGGTCCCCACCCCCAGCGTATTCAGCACTAGATAGTCTCCAATCCTACAGGCACCCACTTGTCGCTGATGGCTGCCTCCATCATGATGATGATGGTGCTCCACTGTCCCCCCTCCATGCCGTACATCTACGGCGGGAGATGATGACGATGTAGCTGTTTGTCCGGTCATGATAATAATAAATACACAACCGTATAATAATAGGAAGAAGTCGATTAAAAGGGTCCAAAAAGCAGCCGACAGACCTTACAAAGAACTGTCGGCTAAGGACTCCTTAGGGAAGTCCTCAGGGAATCCACACACAAAACCCATATACAAGCGCGAGGTCTTACTCGAGTTCGAGCTCTTACTCCAGTGCGAGCTCTTATACAAGTTCTCAAAAAACTGTCATTACGGGTAAACCCGAAACCCGACGGTCTTATTCCAGGAAACCCAGATAACAAGGAAACCAGAAACCCGAAGAGAATAACAAGGCAACCAGAAACCCGAAGGGAATAAGAAGGCAACCAGACCGAAGGGAATAACAGTGTAAACCCCTAGCCCGATGCGGACCGCATTACGCGGTAGAGACGTTATTTACCTTAGGTATGGACGCTATAACGTGGTTAATAGTGACCTAGGACACCAATTCTAGGGACATCATCTGTTTGGGCCGCGCCTTGACTATTTGCAAGAATGAACTGCGCGGGGCGAGCGAGAAATCACCTTGACTATTCACGATTTCCCTTGAAAATCTGAATTTACCCCCGAGGAGAACGATCCAATCGACGAGGCGAATCGAGATTGGGCGAGCGCGACTTCGATCTCTGGACATAATTTTTCAAGGGCTCAGCTTTTCGAATGCTCAAGGACACGTCGCCATCGGCCTGCCCCAGGTGGAACAGTCTCACTAGTAGCAAGATCGATTCTCACAATTTGTCGAAATTAAAGTTAGTTCGGTCTTGCAGACGAAATTGATCTTCCAATCGCCTGTTCTCGCGAGAATGTAGTACAATCATCGTTACGATGATTGTACCACATTCTCACATCGGTACGATGACATCGTGCCAAGGCCTCACTTGTCGTTATCGCATAGGTGCCCCAGCCGATTGAAACTGATTGTGATGAGGCATATCTTGGGGTTATGGCATAGGTCCCCCAGCCGATGGAATTGCTTGTACTAGAGCATATCTTGGAGTTGTGGCATAGTGCCCCAGCCGAGGGAATGGATTGTACTAAGGCACATCTTTGGGTTATGGCATAGGTGCCCCAGCCGAGGGAATGGATTGTACTAAGGCACATCTTGGGGTTATGGCATAGGTGCCCCAGCCGATGGAATCGATTGTACCAAGGCATGTCTTGGGGTTATGGCATAGCTGCCCCAGCCGATGGAATGGATTGTACTGAGGCATATCCTGGGGTTATGGCATAGGTGTCCCAACCGATGGAATCGATTGTACCAAGGCATGTCTTGGGGTTATGGCATAGCTGCCCCAGCCGATGGAATGGATTGTACTGAGGCATATCCTGGGGTTATGGCATAGGTGTCCCAGCCGATGGAATCGATTGTACCAAGGCATGTCTTGGGGTTATGGCATAGGTGCCCCAGCCTATGGAATGGATTGTACTGAGGCATATCCTGAGGTTATGGCATAGGTGCCCCAGCCGATGGAATGGATTGTACTGAGGCCTATCTCGGGGTTATGGCATAGGTGCCCCAGCCGATGGAATGGATTGTACTAAGGCATATCTTGGGGTTATGGCATAGGTGCCCCAGCCGATGGAATGATTGTACTAAGGCTTATGGCATAGGTGCCCCAGCCGATGGAATTGATTTCAATTGAAGCGGAATTCCCTTTCAAGAGATGTATTACATTGCTGATAGATGTACTCGTAAAGTATCCCAACGGTCTGCCTGCCATGGTCATCAATACTGCCGCATTGGTGGCTCATGTCCCTAGGGGTTGGTGAATCGTATGTGTGGTAATGCTTGTGGTTCAAGGGGAGTATATTGTAACACCACCGACTGATAGGGTATATCAGTGTGCTTGTTAATCTTACACCCCCGGGCCTATCCCGAAAGTGACGTCTAGTTCATCAAAATTGATGTCCATTGTTCATGTTGCTCATACTGCTGACTCAGCAGTGCTGATGTGTGTCTTCACGAGCATCCTGTTGTTCTCCTCAGCGAGTTTAATAACTGAGTTCTCCTATCGATTCTTCTATTGGTTATCATGCCAATACCTTTGCCATCTCGTGATACCCGTGACACAGTAACCTCCGAATGGGGCTATAGTTATCGGATGTGAAACCCCGCACCTCCTTGATGGATCCCTTATCTCATCAGCGTTGTTCATCTTTTTCAAACATGTCTGGTCGAGGGGTCACCGCTGGAGTAGGGTCGTCTACGTCATCCTCCTCACAGTCGCCTCCTCCTCCTCCTACCGCCAGTACTTCTCTCCCGCCGTGGCCAGGTGTAACACCACCAGTATCGGAGAATTATCCTACGCGCGCCGACTATGAAGCAACAGAGGAGCTGCGGCACTTCATTGAGAACAGGGCTCCGCCAGAGAGCTCTCATGGAATGCTGAAACGGTAGTGCTAGGTGAGGTTTTGACGGGCATCTGATCATTATGGCAGATACGAGGTATTGGTAGAGATCGAGCGAATGGTGAACAAGTGGATCTACGATGTCTCAGCCGGAGAAATACAGTCGAAGGCACGTGTCCTAACGTTTGGGAGGTATTCTCTGTAGCATTTTCGGATATGGTTGAGATGGTGGTCTCAGTTTCCGTCTTGGAGTCATAACACCTATGTCTGATATCGATACTCTTGTCCTCCTACCTAATTCGATATCCCGGGATGACTTCTTCACTGGTGAGAAGGTCGATCTGACAGCTTATATCGTAGGAGTCCGTGTAGATTTTGTGGAAACGATGCTCAATCGCTCGCCTCATGTCACTGAGTGCAACCCAGTACCAGCTGCTCACGTACCCATTATAAAGGTAGTGGTTACGGTATGTAAAGTAGTTTCACATTGGTGTGGTATCAGGTGAAGTACCGTGGGATCTGTATGGATATATTGGCCGCCTGTGTGCCAACTCACGTACTCTCTGGTGATGTTGATTCGGTTCAAGAGGAGCTTATCTACGACGTTGAGAAACGGTGCATGAAGTCAATGAATGGCATTCGAGTCGCTGGTGGGTGTGAGGAGTTGATTGATGCACTAAAGGCATCGTTATCAGATAAGATGCTATCCCTCGTGGTGGATACGCAGACCTTCCGACTCGCCACCAGAGTTATCAAGTATTGGGCGCAACAGAGGCTCATCTATTCAAATGCTATCGGCTACATGGGAGGGGTATCTTGGGCTGTCATGGTAGCGCTACTGGCAGCATTTCAACGGGAAAGGGTGATAACCGTCGTCTCCTAGGTTGGGCGTGTCTGCCAGTTGTATCCAAACTACTCAGCGAAGCAGATCGTGGAGAGGTTCTTCTTTGTCTATGCACGCTGGCAATGGACTGCTACTAGAGATTATGGCAACAGTAATGCGCCACGCAGGAGGTATCTCCTCTGACGTTTCTCTAGGTGTTGCTGTAACGTTGTGTCCGATAGAGGACGCAGCCAGCAAGGTCCCGCCTGAGATAGCTGCCGAGCAGGGCCTTCGAAAGTTTAAGGAGTGGAATCCGAACAAGTGAGGCGCTGTGAGTCGTCGATGATCTTGGGAATAGTCATTAGGTACACCTCCGATAGGCATCATGTGATGCCGGTGATCACTCCCATCTTCCCCACACATAACACCACCTACAATGTACAAGAGTCCAATAAGAGGGTCATCGTGCGGGAGATCAAGCGAGGTGAGACAGAACATACTAGAGGAGTCACAGAGACAGGCTTTTCAGGCCGAGAAATAATGGAGCTCATGAGCATGAACAAGAGCAGTGGAGCTACTAAAGGAAATGAAGTTACCTGGGCAGATCTGTGTGCCCCCTTCCCCTTTTTCCAGGTGAGTCTGTCGTTAGCGGCTGAACCCGGAGCTTTCTCACGGAGCTGCGTTGTCTCCCATTTTTAGGTTTATCGCCAATTTCTGCTACTAGAAATAAGCGCTGAGACGGAAAAGGCATTCTTGAAGTTCAAGGGCTTGGTAGAGTCCCGTATTAGAGTGTTGGTGAAGAATCTCGAGACTTGCTGCGGCCACAAGGCAAGCCCACCATCATTGTCGTCTCCTATGACCCATAATCAATAGGTTCTGCCCCAACCCCATCCGGTCATGTTCCCGAGGGGGCCCTTAGGGGCTGATGCCATACCAGGCGAGGCTCCTACCTTCCTTGGAGCCTTCGTACTCGGCATAACGTTCGACCACATTACTACAGGTTGGCCGGTGATTGGATAGTAGTCGAGTTTGAGGGTTTAATCATCTTCAGACGATCTGGCGGCATCGGCCGAAGTGAGCAAGGAGATTAAGACGGCTTGTGATGGCTTCGCAGAGCACATCACTCAGGCAGCACTTTCAGATGAATGGGACTCCTTTAGAGGGCAGTTCAAGTAGGGCATTGTCTGGAGCATCGGAATTATTGGGATCATGACTCCACTCTTTTCAGCCTTATAATACTGCATCGTTATCTATCTGATTTGCCTGCTTATATCCGCCCTAAGCCAGCACGTCCTCATTCAGTCAGTTC